ACACTGCTGAGGGGAGCAGTGGGCGCGGCAGGAGGGTCTGTCACACCATGTGGGAACCTCACTGGTGGCCAGGGATCAAACTGGCACTGAAGAGGCTGTGGGCAGCTTCACAGCCCAGCACTCAACCACTGTGCCACCAGGGAAGGCCCTGTCAAAGATTTTTTAAAAACATGCTAAATAAACTGATCTCCAATCCATATTTACATATGGCAACATACTGTCCATTTGGATAACTGGTCTGGGATGCCTACTCTTTGACATCAGTAATCCACACCATTTGTTCCAAGCTGCAATTTCTGATCACCTCACCTTAAGGATATATCTTTGTGCCAAACCTTATCCACTCTTCTCTCTCTCTTTTTTGCCACCTAGATCCTATATTAACTGGAATGAAGAGGCAGAAGAATGAAATTGTTGAATTAAGACTATCCTGCATTTTTGGCAAACCTAATATGTTTCAGAGAGTTTTCAAATACAACTCTCATTTTCACCTCAAGAGTAATTGTTGGAGGTGGTTACATTGGTATTATTTTCCATTTCGCAGGTTAAGAAATTGGATTCACATGACTATTAAGTAGAAGGATTTGGGGGGAAAGATCAGAAGCCTAGAACTGGAAGCATCTAGTTCAGTTTCTACAACTTGAAAATAAATTATCGAGCTCTATACAGGTTAAAGAGGCAATCCAGGTCTATTATCTTAGTGTTAGAATCGGATCTCCACCTGCTGATTTCCAGCCTACAGCTCAGTTGGTGTGTTGTTCCCTTTCCAAATCAGAAAAGATGTGTCAGAGCAGGAAAATGATATCCATTAACTGATGTCAGGCAATGCATTTTTTTAATTTATTCCTCCTCCATCCCACCTAAATATTTAAACTCCAGGTCAAAACATAACATAAAGTGATTATTTGTCATGGAAGTTTGGTGATCAAAAAACCCAGCACTATTGAATTTCAGTAGAAAAAAAATGAAAATGTGGGGTGCTCCCCTTTCCTCCTTGGGGTTCTGTCTTAGTTTGATCTGTCTTAGTGCACATTCACCACATATGCAGAAGGAATTCATGTGTAATCCCTGATTTTATTTTTTCTCTTTGTGCACTAACATTCCCTGAGCATCTTTCACTGAAACAAAAGCAGCATTCTCCCAGCTCCGTGAGCAGTCCTCTTTCTCCTCTCTGATTATGTGACGTGTCTGGCCTTCATTTTCTGACATCTTGATACCCCAGTCCAGTGCGAGCAAGGGCAGGTTCACTGTCAATTCAGGCAGACAGATAAAGAAGAGTCCCAGAGTCCTCGGTGGATTTTTCAGGCTTTGATGCTCTCTCAGGGAACCAGGCACACAGGCACACCAGGCAGGGAGGCTGCCATGCAAGGAGGCAGGCACAGGGAGGAGGGGAGGAGAGGAGCTGGGAGTCAGGCAGGCAGCCAAGCTTCCCAGCCCCCCTCCAAATCTTTACACTTTTTCTCAAGGCTCTCTCTGGTGTTCTCTCATGGTCTCACCTCTTCGTAGCATGCAGCTCATCCTCTCATAGCCATCTCTCAGAGCCTTTCTTATATCCCTGGCCTCTAGGCTCAGGTGTACACACTTATGCATGCCCAGAGCATGCTCCAGGTGTCCACAAACCCATGCTCCCAAGGGTCTTCTGCATTAACACAATCAAGGCAGCAGGTGACAGCCACAGAAGCTAGAGGCTAAAAAGCCTGATTAATCCATTTACCCTACACGCAGAAATAAGAACCCATTTATGGACTGCTGTAAGCACAAGTTTGTAAAAAAATCACCTAGCGATGATTCATATTTCCCCAAGGGACTTTGAGGAGTTGAGAAGGTGATGGTCAGTCATACAAGTTGTAGGGTAAGTAAAGTATCAGGCTTTTCTGCCCTCCCACCATTAGGATTGATGATAGATCCCTGCGGTCCTGAATACACGCCTGATGGCAGGCACCTGGATTGGGTTGCAGGCATACATAGGTGGGATACACCTGAGCTTTTACTGGGCTTATAAGGGTGGTGTCATGGGGAAGCCAGCAGAGCGGAAAGAAGGGAACAAGAGCGAGAGAGAACAAGAGCGAAAGAAGCAGAAAATCAGAGGCCACGAGAGAACACCAGAGGGCCCAGAAAGAGTGAAGACTTGCTGAGGGCTGGGAGGCCTGCTAGCCTCCTGGCCCCCCAGCACCCCTGCCTGCCGTGTACCTGGTAAACTCAAAAAAAACCCTGAAAAAGCCACCGAGGACTCTCCTTTACCTGTTTGCAGAGAATCATAGAGATCTTGCATTGTGCCCTCCTGCGGCTACACAAGTTCAAGGGCCTCTTCCCCTCACTATTCTGGCTTTGTGGTATGTAGTTCACAAGAGAATAAGTAGGAATCTCAGTTGCTTAGTATCAGGGAAACAACAAACTCCTTGGTACTGGATGAGAGTCTTCCAAGTTTTTCCTGACACCCATCACTCAGTCTCCTCCTGCCCATTTACCCCCTATGATAGCCCATTTTCCACCTATTCTTTTTTTTAAAGATTTATTTATGCATACAAGAACTGGGTTACAGGCCAGAGATGCGGGGAGGGGGGGGTGTGAGGGGTGAGAGGAGTCACCAGAGACAGAGTGGGGAACAGACCAGGCAGACTGACTGAAATCCACTGCTGAGGGGAGCAGCAGGCAAGTCAGGAGAGGTCTGCTGCATCATGCGGGTAGCTCCCTGGCCAGCTGGGGATCGAACTCATGTTGCAGAGGCTGCAGATTGCCTCAGTGCAGTGTTCAACCCCTTGTGCCACCAGGGAGGCCCAGCCCCTTTTCTTTTCCTTCTCTCTCTTTCCTTGGTTCCTCACGACCGTATCACCTGATCTTTTTCTGATGGTACCTGCAGCACAGAAAACATAAGTTAAATTTTCCCAGACTGTTCTCTGTCCTGTTTTTCTTTCAACCACATAAATGACTACTTCATCTAATTTAATTCCATTTTCTCAACATCTTCAGAATATATGGCTTGTATCTCGATTTGGTGCCTCTTAAATATAGCCTTTCCTACTTACCTGTTGATGCCTCTATCCTACTCCCCAACAAAGATGACGAATTCCTCCCTGTGAGGGAGAAGCATCTCCTGTAAGTCTCCTGCCCAGAGCCTGTTGGGAGAATATGAAGCACTTAGTAATGACACTCATCTGTGCATGTGATTGTAATTCTCGACTTGAGCTTTTTTAAATTTGTTTTATGCTTGATTCTTAAGGTCGATCTGTTTCAATTTGGAAGATCCAGGTGGATGAAGCATTCTAAATATTTTATCATACCTAGAAACAAAGTTTTCAGAGTCCTGAATTACTTTCTAGTTTAGGTGTGCAAAATAAATCATTCATTCTAGCAAGAGTTTCCATTACAAATATTAGAAACCCAGTAGAGTTGAATGATTTCAGGTTAGGCAGATTTAAAATCTAGTGTCATTTGGTTTTTATAGATTCTCTTCATAGAGAAGTTTTACCTTTCTATGCATATTAAGACATTATCATGGGGCCTCCCCTAGTGCCGCAGCAGTTGAGCGCTGGGCTGCAAGGCTGCCTGCAGCCTCTGCAGCGCCGCTTCGTTCCCCGGCCGCTGGCAAGGGTCCCACAAAAAAAAAAAAAAAAAAAAAAGACATTATCATGGCTTAGGCAAAACCTGGATGAAAATAATAGTAACTATTCCTGAATTTCTATTATGTACCAGGCACTGTGCTTAGCATGTAACAATCTTGTGACATGCTAACAGCTTTAACAACCAGCCTAAGGTCGCATAAGTAGTCGGTTGTAGAGCCTGGATTAAAACCCTTCAACTTCACATATAACAGGAGCTTGAAAAGGTGAAATGATGATGATAAAATACTTTCTGAAACTCCCCACAAGATTATATTTCTATGTAGTTATATATTCTGTTAGATTATATATTGGAAAATACACTTACCATTTTTGGTTTAATATTTGTCTAAGATCCTGTCTCTCCTATCCCAAGAGCTCTATAACCATGCAAAGCAGTAACTTAATAATGTTCCATACCACTATTTTCAAATGCAAAATAAAATAATTTTGACACAAGGCATATATTAATTATAACTAAAGCTTTTAGCACTTCTTACATATATCACCTAATTTGCTACAGCAAACCTATGAGGAAAAGATTACTATCTTATTATGACACACTTGATATTTAAAAACATAAAGTAATTTATGATTATAATAAAAATTATATTGGAATCTAGTATCCACTGAAAGTTTTTCCATTTGTGGATATAAAGATATCACTAGATAATATGACTCTAAGCAATGTCTTATTTATATGTGATTTTTAAATACTACAAAGACATTTTAGTACTTAGAATCTCTCCAAATCATGTCTTCTAAACACTTCATTAGCTTTGGTTATATTTATATGTCTGGTAAATGGATTCTTCAATGAAAATTTGATGCAATAATCTTTGAAGTCTTGAAATGACTGCTCAAGGATTATTGATCTGAATCACTTCAACTAATGGCTTAATCAACAGGTCACCTACAAGCAGCAATGTGAATTCAATTGATATACTGCTGTGCTTGCATTGCAAAGTGATTTATTTCTTGCCCAGGCATAATTATAAAACTGTAAGAGATGTTCAATCAGAGTTAGACTTTCCTAAGAATTTCCTCAGAACTTTGTTTTTAAACATTAATGGGAATGTTCTAGAGAATAACCTATATGGGACCAATTTTGAGTGTACCTGTGATGCCTATAAAACAAGGTGGTTTAATCTGGTTAGTGTCAACACTATAAATTACTGGTTCTAAGACCTACAGCTATATTTTCACTTGCAGAGAATCCATTTAGGAAATCCCCTCTGCCAATTCACTTAATGGCAGCATAGCACTCTCAAAATTAATTGTTAGCAGGTCTAAGACATTAACAATTTATGCTATTACACCATTATCTCCATTTTCTTGGAGAAAAGTCTACTGCAATTTTATAGATTTTTGACTAATGCAGTGTTTCTTTTTTTAATGCAGGTAAATGGTTTAACTATGGAATTATCTTTCTTGTCTTGATATTGGATCTTAATATGTGGAAGAATCAGATATTTTATAAGCCTCATGAATACGGACAGTATATCGGCCCAGGACAGAAGATATATACAGTGAAAGACTCAGAAAGTTTAAAGGATTTAAATAGAACCAGGCTATCCTGGGAATGGAGATCCAATCACACTAACCCACAGACAAATAAAACATATGCTGAGGAGGACTTGTTCTTACATAGCAGGTTCATAGGGGCTAGCCTTGACATCAAATGTCTGGCTTTCATTCCAAGTTTGATAGCCTTTGTGTGGTTTGGATTCTTCATCTGGTTCTTTGGACGGTTTCTGAAAAATGAGCAAGGCATGGAGAACCAAGACAAGACTTATACTCGCATGAAAAGGAAATCCCCATCAGAACATAGCAAAGACATGGGAATCACACGTGAGAACACCCAGGCCTCCGTGGAAGACCCGTTGAATGACCCTCCCTTGGTCTGCATCAGATCTGACTTCAATGAGATTGTCTACAAGACTTCCCACCTAACGTCGGAAAACTTGAGCTCACACTTGAACGAATCTACCAGCACTACAGAAGCTGACCCAGATCCAATGACTTCTAAAAGTACGTCTACAAACTAGGCTCACTTACTTGACGATAGCACAAAAAGCAACCTGGAGTGTCCCTTTAAAGAGTTAGTCTTTCCTTTTGTAAATGTAAGGTTTACGTAGTCTTAGGTCAAGGAATACCAACAAAGCCACAACGGTGCTCAATATGCTTTTTCTAGGACTCATTGTTTTCTATTTGTATTATGAGACACGTGCCTACTGTCTATCTAACGGTCCTCTAGAGACTGCTTTTCACAACTGCACAAGCTATTTACTGACTTGACAGCATAGTAGAATATTAGCTGATTACCTGTGTATCTGATGTTCAACCATAGTGGTGCCTTGAGACATTAAACTGTTTTTAACTGTACCAGAAATGAAGAGTGGAACAGTTCTCTAACCTACTTCACATAGGTTTTTTGTATCCAATACTTTGATCTACACTTGATGTCTGAGCAGGACACAGAATAGCCAAGATGTGGCTCAGGAAGTGTTTCTTGGCTTATGATGCAGCGGCAGAACTACTGACTTTGACAGAGACTACAGAGAAGCATGGTGATCACCTTCACATTTTGGTTGGCTGCCTACAAATCCAAATCCAGATGCAAAATCCAGTAACAGGAGAAGGATAATCTAGCATGGGTCACTACTTGTGAAATGTGACTTTCTCCAACCAGTAATTGCAATTAGATGATAATACCTAATTATGTTTTCCTAATTAAAGATAAATTGCGACTTGATTAAATTTCCTGCCCTCGCCTTTGGGAACAAAGGTTAAGAGGCACAGTTGGGTGAATTCTCAAAGTTATTGGCATTTACACAAAGCCCTAGAAAACAGAAGAACTGAAGTTTTAATCTTGCGAGGGTTGTAGATCCTACCATCGACTATGTTTGTACATCTTTCTGTAAACATGGCTCAGGACAGTGAAAATTGAGAAACATATGCCAACCCTGGCAAGGGGACTCCTCTCAAAATCATGCAGCAGAACCACGGGAGGTAGAAAAAGACATGCATGAAAGAATCTGTTTAGTGGCTTGTACGTGTGCATTTTTTTCTTTTTTTTTAAGAATTAAACATTGCATATTAATAAATAAGAATTATAAATCAGCACTTAAGAGATGTCATTTTTTCTTTGTAATAGAGGAATTAGAGTTGTTTCTTTCTTTGTGTAACAGCCACCCATTTAAATGTTACAGAATTTTTAACTCCATGACAGGTAAGTTAAGAAATGGAACTCTCCCAACTTGCTTTTAAATTTTATTTCATAAATCATGGTTACATGTTCCTTGAGGGGCTTAGGAGAGATCACTTTTAAGGCTAAATTACTTTCCTGTCACATACTGATATAGCTGTATTTTGTCTTTATGATCTTTTAAATCTCTCTTGTTTTGATCTATCTGCTTTTAAGCTTGCAGAATGCTGAATTTAGCATGCATAATAGAAATATGCATTTATCTGTCACTTAGGAGCTAGCTTTAATAAGCATATTTCTATAGCTATTTACTAAACTATTGGAACCGTGCCCCTGCTGTTTCTTTTTCCTTCAGTAGCCATACATGATGTTATTTAGAATCATAAATATTCCTGAAACTAAAAATGCAGAGATCGAACTCCTACAATAACTCTTTGACCAACATGTCCAAAGAAACCATATTACCCCATGATAGGTGGTAATGTTGGCCACCACCAAATTTGCATAGAATAGAAATATTCAACATTTGACTCTGGAACAAGTAAATAATACTAACTTGCACTGTATCTTTATTTATTCTGAAACTCAATGTATTGTTCAATAAAGAAGGAAGTTGATTTTTAGAAAATGTTTTTTTTTTAAATCAGCATGTACTTCTTATGAAAATATTATTTGAGAATCTACATGGGTTTGAAGAAAAAGTACTTTAATAAGGAAATCTAAGTAGCAGAAAGAAGATTGAAATAAAACCTTAGATTTTGTATTTTTAAGGTTTGACTAGTAAAGCTGCCTCTCAACTGATATGAAAATATATCTTAATGTTGCCATAAGTTTGATATCAAATGTAATAACTTCCAGAAATGGTGTTTTAATAGTCTAACAAGATTCCAACCTTTGAAGGCTTCCAATATTCAATCATACATATCAATCTTGACATTTTTCTCTACAAATGGTTTTCCTTCCTTTCTTTTCTACCTCTTTTATCTGTTACACATCCCCTTTGCAATTTTATCAACTAAAGGTTAGAAAATGAGGTCAGGGAGGTTACTCAAAATATTAAGAAAAAAACAGACCTACCATCTGATCCAGCAATTCCACCCCTAGGTGTCTACCCAAAGAATGCATAAACACTAATTCAAAGGGATATATGCACTCCTGTGTTCATTGCAGCACTATGTACAATAAACAATTTGTGGTAACAACCTATGTGTCCAAAGACAGATGAGTAAATTAAGAAGATGTAGTCTATATGCACAATGGAATTCTACTCAGATATTAAAAAGAGATGAACTCTTGCCATTTGCAACAACTTGGATGGAACTACGGGGGATTATGCTACGCAGAGTAAAATAGAAGAAGAAAGACAAATGCCAAATGATTTTAGTCATATAGAATATAGAGGTACAAAGCAAAGGGTCAGACAAAACAAACCCTAGAAATCTAACTGTAAAACTGAGGCTACCAGTGTGGGGCAGGTAGTGTGTAGAGTAAAGGGGTAGGGGACCCAATAAACTTTGGTGAAGAACTATGGGTACCTTGGTAATAGGTGTGATATGTTAACATTCATCTGAAAAGGTGTGATCCCATTCCTCTGAATTACCTACAGTATTGTAAACCAATGCTATCTCAATTAAAAACAAACAAACAACAACAAAAAAAAAAAACACATGCTCTAGAAAAAAAGAGAAAATCACATATGTTCATGGTTGGCCATGATCTTGAGTCATATAAAAGTGAACTATGACTACAGAGCTTTCTGAATACCAATCCCTTTGACTATCATGGACATTTGTATAAAGATGTGTAGAAAATTGAGAATAATGAAGTTTAAAGAAGGACTAAAAATCACTAACCACAGATTGTAAAGAAGGCATAACAAATCTTATACTTTAATTGTCATGATGCTTAAGAACTATAAGCAATTATATTTCTGCTGTTTGGTAATTACAGCATTTGCTTCCATGCAGTGAAGAATTTGCAGTAATTTGACATGATCTTGGTATCCTATATTGTTGAGTACTTTGTTAGTAGTTTAAATTGAAAATTAGATAAAATTAGATAAACACTATAAATTTTTGCCTGATACATTTTTGATGATACATGCCTGGACATTAATCTTATCACTGCTTGCCCAGTTATAGAACCATCTATAACTTACCTTATCTTGGCATGTGGCTACTTATCATATTCATTTTTCTCTTAGCACATATAAGATCACTGGTGAATCCCATTAGAAATGTTAAGAATTTTTTCTTCTCCATTTGCCCTAATAGTCAGCCAGTAAATCTCTTTTTACTTTCATGGCATCAGGTTTTACAAAATGTAGGGTCCAACAGCAGTGTTGGCTGACAGTACAATTGGAAGAAGTCATCCAATACAGACTCTCTAACGTGAAAGTGGGAGCCAGTATTCAGGTCATATCTTACTGCTGGGCTCCAAAAGCAATTCTCTTAAATTACTTTGTTGCTCTGTGAGTCACCAGCACCACCCAATATGAAACATAAGAAAGATAATGACAGTAAATCACTTAGCTATCCTTTGAACTGATGGCTCATAATGCCAAATGGATATTCTAAAATTTAACTAAGACTTCAGACCTCACCATTCCCTTATACCTATCTGTCCTCACTCTGAACTGATTTCTATTTTAAGTGAAAACTTTACTACCATTTAGACTGGGCTAGAACTACCCAATAATTTGAAAAACCAAGGACATTTAGATGCAGTATTTGGAGCACACAAGTCACTCTTTTGAAGATACTTTTTAAAAGAGAAAGTTAGGCAAATGGTGGAGCATGTGTGGAAGGGGCTGCAATGAAGTTTGGAAATAAAAAATGGCAGTTAGTGTGTATGGACTTTAAACCTTCAGGAAGGGAGGGAGACCTTTATAAAAGAAACCTTAACATAAAGTTATCATGAGTTCAATATGACCACATCTTAGGAATAAGACTCAAACACTTATGTTCGACATAGCTGAGGGGATCACCCAAAGGTTGGCTGGTGGTTGGTTGGTTGGTGGGTGGGTGGGTGTGTGGTGGGTGGTTGGTGGTGGTTGGTTGGTTGGTGGGTGGGTAGGTGGGTGCGTGGTGGGTGGTTGGTGGTGGTTGGTTGGTTGGTTGGTGGGTGGGTGGGTGTATGGTGGGTGGTTGGTGGTGGTTGGTTGTTGATTGGTGGTGGGTAGTTGGTGGGTGAGTGATTTCTTGAATATTCTAGACCTCAAGCTATTCTATATCTGCTCCAGTGACCTGGGGGTGGAGATACAGGACACATAACAAACTACAGAGGCAGGTGTTGCAAATGGGGCAACATGAAAGAGAAAGAGAAAAATAAAAACAATTAGGAGAGAATGGAACATCTTCAATGGAGACCAAACACTAGGGTAAAATCTGTTTGTAAGCAGATCATCAGTGGAGAAGTAAAAATATCTACGTTGTGATGTTCTGAGCATTTTAAGTCACCAAGAAAATTAGTATTACTACCAACTTAATGTGTTAAAAATCACTGATAATATTTTAATTTAGTATGAGATATCAGTTCAATTATTTCAGAGACTATAAAATACATGCAATTTATTACATGGACACATTTCCTTTTTTTAATTTTATTTTTATATTCCCCATACAATTGCAACCCCCTTATTTTGACCCCATCCCCTCCTTTCCCCCCCCCACCCCCATAGTGTGGAGACATTTCTTAGCTCTGCCCCATCTTGATTTTTCATGTTTTAAGTTCCTTAATATCAAATAATTTTACTAATGGTATTTTTGAATGCTTAACCTATATGATTGAGAGGGACAACAATAATTTATTATTGAGAGCTACAGTAACAAAACAAATTTACAGATGCTCCTCACCCTAATTTTTTTAATTCTGTTCAGGTTTTGCTCAATCCTCATATAAAATACTGGTGGTGGTAATTTTACAGGGACTGCACTTGAGAAAGAAAGTATATATTGTACAAAAATGAACAATGATGTAAAATATGTATATAAATAAAAAATAAAATATTGCCATTTTGACCATTTTCTATGTGCAAGTAAATTATCCCCTTTAATCCTTAAATTCACCATTGAAGGAAAGTATGGCTAATTTTATGTTACATATGATGAAAATAAGACTCAAAGAAGTATATTGTTTGCCAAAAACCAGAGAATTGGTAAATGCGGAGTTAAGATTTGAAACTGGGGCCTCCCTAGTGGCACAAGGGTTAAAGTCTCAGGGCTATCAAGCTATCACCAGCCACCACAGCATGAGTTCAATACCTGGCCAGGGAGCTGACCCACATGGTGCTGCAGACCTCTCCTGTCTCACCCACTGCTCCCCTCAGCAGTGGATTTCAGTCAATTCACCTGTTCTGTCTCTGGTGCATCCTCTCACCTCCCACACCTCTAGCTTCCACCCCAGTTCTTCTACACAAAAATAAATAAATAAATAAACTTACAATAAAGGAATAATTCTTAAAAAAATAAACATTCATTCAAACTAAGATACCCTTTTCAAACAGAATCTTTGGTGAGGAACTGAACAGCAGTTTTAAAACCATAAGATGCTTGAATTCTCATAACTCTTGTCTCTGAAAAACCTAACTTAAACAATTTCTAACCATGCTCTAGAAGCAATTTAAAAGTCAAAACTTATCATTGAAACAGATAAGGTTGAATGGAATGACAGAAGCATTCAGTTCACGCCAGGTATTTTGATTTAAACTAACATTATAAGACCACAATATGGTTTTGTCCCAGTACAAATTTCAGCATTGGAACTGCTTTCCTCTAAGATTTTACTTTCTGTGGGGAAGGGGAAATTTCCAATGAACTTCTGCATGTTTTGAATTCCCTGCCCATCCCCCCGGAAAATGTCAGGGAAGGAATAAATAGTGTGAATATTCAATCAAGGAAAAAATTCATTAGCCTCCGGC